TAGATTTGTTGCTTTGGTGGCTCTTTTCATTTACAGACGTACTGGTCGACGATCTCTGTGCACTTTTTACACTTGACATAACAGCACCAATGGAACTTGCAGTGGCAACGCTCCACCTGGACGCTCTTGAACTGGTCATAACCCCGTCCGCAGCACATCAGCTCACACCCATCCATGCCCTCCGAGGTCTTGTTGCACAGTCGGCCCTGAGTGCCCAGTGAGCCAGTGGTCTCATTGCGCAGGCAATAGTCCGGGCTGGGGTCAACGTAGACCAGGTCCTCTTGTGTCGGCATGTTGAAACGGTTGTTCACCAGCTCCAGCTTGCCCTTGCGGCTGATCCTCATGGCAGCGGCGCTGTCGTACTTCTCCTTCAGCAGGTCGCCCACCTTGCGGAAGTCAGCCAGCTGCAGCCAGCAGGTCTTGAGGCTGCAGGAGCCTGACACACCGTGGCACTTGCAGGCCACGTCCGCCAGCTTGTACACGGCCTGCGGGAAAAGGAGTGCAATCAGGCAGAGCTGCGTTTATTCATGCTGCACTGGCAGATGGCTTAATTACAAGGAATTCATCACGTTTTCAAAACCGCTTTGATTATCCCCCAATTTCTGTTGTTTCGCTCTTCAGAAGAGACAGAAGTCTCCTCCTGCTGTTGCGACTGCTGTGTTCTTGTTCCCTAAATATTTCTATTTCTGGTCACAATGCCTCCAAACATGACTTCCCCACCCCACCTTCTTTTCCCCTGGCAGAGTTCTGACTTGACAGCAGGGTCAAGAGCGGGAAAGAAGGGGAAAAGTCCCGTCCATGTGGGTTCTGGAAATTCCCCCAGCCTCAGGGACTACCACATGTTTTTCCCTTCAGAGCTGCGAAAAGCGAACACCTGGGAACCCGCCCGTTTCCTACCACCCGCACCAGGAACCGACGCTATCGCTGCAGGGATACATCTGCATCCTTTTGAAATAAATCCACGGGACCCACACCCCTTCACTCCATCTCTGCAGAGGGGAGCTCCTTCGGGGGCAGCGTCCAGAGGAGGCATCGCTTTCCAGAGAGGAGCAAGCAGGGGTGGCAGTGGCGGTGCGAAAGATGGAGACCTCCACGCTGCAGCTGAGCAGCTCGCCGCCGCTCCGGGGGTTCACCAGGCGCCCGCCGTGAAGAGCAGGGCTGAGCTGCAAGGCCTAACTGCAAACCTGCGCCATCTTGTGTCCAGACAGTTCCCGGCACCCGCAGGACGGTACACGCAGAAGGGCCTAGTTTTCAACAGCAAACGCAAGCTTTCAGTGCTGTCTTTTCCGAGAGACTTTCAGCTACGTTTCCAGGAGTCTGCGGGGGCTGTAAGATGCATCTACCCCCCCCTAAATTCGGCATCAAAATTAACAAATAGCCTTGAAAATTTAGGCCAGTGCGCATTAAACCCCAGGCAGAGCAAGGAGATGATGTAAAGGGTAATGGTGGTTGCTCTCCTCCTCCCCACAGTAGCTGGGAGGAGACAGAAATACTGAAAAATACTCTACAATAACAAAGCTCAAAATAAACTGAGAAGGCAGGTTGAGTTTGTTCTTTCCATTAATTTCAGAGACAGGTACAGAACTGCGTGCTACACAAGATCCCGTCAGCACGCACAGGCACCGACAGAGCTTGCGGAGCGAAGAGCTGGCACTCCCACGCCATCAGAGCTGCGGCGTGTTACAGCAGCTCACCCCCCAGCCCTCGCTCCTCATGCTCTCGCCATCAGGTTCACATCTGCTCTCCCATGGCCGCCCTGCGTCCTGCACGTTCGCAGGGCAGTGTCTCTGCCAAGCAGAGCTGTTTGGCATCAGCCGCAAAATTACCACCAGCTGTATCGGGTGGGAGAGATCAAGGAACGTGAGAAAAAACTAGGATGTTCTGAAGGAGATGGCAATATGTCTTCTAGCCAGGTCTTCTGCTGAAAAAAGCAGCCAAGCACTGAGGTTTCTTTCCTGCCGCACTCACCAACACAGGAGAAAGCTTCCCAGCTCTCCTCATTCGTTTGCCGAGGAGTAGGTGATTAAGGCAATTGAGTGTAGTGCAAGCAAAACCTTCTGCCTACGACTCGTTCTGGACCAGCAGTGAGAGGTCAGAGTTCTCCTACAACAACTGCTTGCTCCCGGGCTAACTAACGTCTAGTGCTTTTGACAGCTAGTGAAGATTCAATTTGGCTTAATGGCTAAATCACATGGAGGCTGATCCAGCTCCCAAGAACGTCAATGGAGTGAGTCCTTAAAACAGAGAAGCTTTAGTTCTGCTCCTCGGAGCTCAATTTACTGAGGCAATCCCTCACGGCGCAATGTAACAGCTACAGGCTGGGAGTTAAGCACTTGTCTTGAATCAAACTGTAACTGCAGAGGACCAACCACGCTGTTACCTAAGGATTCCT